TTATTTAGGTGGCATCTCTGTTGCACATGCTAGAGTGCAATGGCGTGATCTTGGCTCACTGAAACCTCTGCCTCTCGGGTTAAAGCAGTTCTCTGCCTCAGCTTCCCGAGTAGCTGGGATTATAGGCGTGCACCACCATGCCTGGCTAATTTTTGTATTTTTAGTAGAGATGGGGTTTCACCATCTTGGCCAGGCTGGTCTTGAACTCCTGACCTCGTGATCCACCCTCCTTGGCCTTCCAAAGTTGGGATTACAGGCATGAGCCACTGCGCCTGGCCCAAACATATATTTAATATATGGCACTTTTCTGATGATAAAGGTATCATTTCACATCAGTAGGAAAAATATGGATTATTTAATAAATAATGCTGTTACAAGTGAGTAGACACATGGAAGAAAATATAGATTTGTACCTCACAGTTTAGACCAAAATAAAGTTCAGATGGAGAAAAGACTTAAGAAATTATAAGTATATACTCAGAAAAACATAGGAAAAAAATTTTAACAGTGTATGTCTTTCTAAATATGTCACAAAACCCAGAAGCCATAAAAGAATCAATAGGGCAATTGAACCATATTTCAAAATCAAAAGACAAGTGACAAAATGGAAAGGTTACATACAATTCCTGTTACAAAAATCTAGTTGTTTTAATATGTAAAGAGCTTCTATGGGCCAGGCGAGGTGGCTCACGCTTGTAATCTCAACATTTTGGGAGGCCAATGTGGGCAGATCACTTGAGGCCAGGAATTTAAGACCAGCCTGGCCCACATGGTGAAACCTTATCTCTACTAAAAATTTAAAAATTAGCCAGCTGCGGTGGCACATCCCTGTAATCCCAGCTACTTAGGTGACTAAGGCACAAGTAATTGCTTGATCCCGGGAGGTGGAAGTTGCAGTGACCTGAGATCACGCCACTGCACTCTGCTCTGGGTCAGAGAGCGAGACTCTGTCTCAAGAAACAAAACAAAAAATCCCCAAGGAGCTTCTATGAATCAATTTAAATACCAGTAGGAAAATGGGCAGAAGTAACGTATGCAAAAACATTCAACTTCAAAATTAGAGAAATGCTGGTTAGAACTAGTTTAACCAGATTGGCAAAGAAAAACGGCAGATAACACTGCTAAGCTATTCTTACTGCCAATAGTTAGAATAGTGTAAATTGATAAAACTGCTACAGAGGGCAATTTAGTAGAACCTGTTAAAATTTTAAATACCATTTAATCCAGGAACTCCATTTTTAGGAATTTATTTTTCAGATTCATTTTATACATTTATGAAATGAAGCATGTTCAAGGATTTTAATCACAGCAACACTGCTTGTAGTAGCAGAAGCTTGAAAACAGCCTAATTATTTCACCAGTGGTCAGGCCATGGTGTATTTCACTCTGAATTATTGTGTGAATTAGAAAAAAAATAGCTCTACATGGGCAGGGTCTGAAATGTACCCTTTTGAATTTCATACCTATTTGTATGGCCTGGCAAATGGAATTGCTGCACAGGTATGCACAGTGGCCTTGTTGAGGCTGTAGTTAAAACTGAGCAAGGTATATATCTATAACAATGGAATACTACACAGTTATTAAAAAGAATGTGGCAGCTTAGTATGTACAGACATAGAGCAGTCTCAAATATCGTAAGTGAAAAAAAGACACAGTTGTGTAACATGGTGCCATTTGTGTTACACACACACACATTCTCTCTCTCTCTCTCTCTCTCTCT